TAAAAAATATTAATATTTATTAAAAATTTATAATTTTATATATAAATTAAATATATTAAAATTAACGTTTATTTTATTTATAAAAAATAAATTAACAGTAAAATAAATTTTATATATATTTTTATAATTTAATAAATTATTAATAATTTTATTAAATTTTTATTAAAAAACGTATTTATTAAATTTAAAAAAATAATAAATTTTTATTTATAAAATAAATGGAAAATAATAAAAAATAAATTTTTTATAATTAATAAAATAGCTTATATTAATATAAAATATATAATTATAAAATATATAAATATAAAATATAATTAAAAATATTAATTATAATTAAATTTAAATTAAAATATATTTTTAAAACATATTATTAAAAATTTTAAAAATTAACACATTTTAAAAACTATATATAATAACAATAAAATATTTTTAAAAACCATATATTTAAACTTTTTATTATTTTAATTATAAAATAAAATTATTTTATAAAAAAATTTTTAATAATTAAATTAAATTTATTAAAATAATAATTAAAATTATATATTTTTAAAATATTAATATATAAAAATTAACTATTATAACTTTAAAAAATTTAAATTTATTTTATTAAAAAAAAATTACTTTTAAAAAAACGCAAAAAACTTTATATTATTAATTTAATTAATAATAAATATAAAAATAAATAATAAATTTATAATAAATTTATTTTAAAACGTTTAATATTAAAATTTTAAAATATTTATAATAATTATTAAATAATATATATTAAAATTATATTTTTTATATATATTAATAAATTATATTTTTTTATAATAACTTAAATTAAATAAATTATATACTTAATTTTTTATTATAAAATTTATTTTATAATTTTATAAAATTAACATTTAAAATTAAAAAAAAAATTTAAATAAAATTATTTAATATATTTAATAAATAATTAATAAATAATAAATAAAAAAATAAATATTAATATATATTTATAATAACTATTATTAATAATATTATAAAATTAAAAAAATAAATATTAATATAAAATTATAACTTTATAAAAATAATATTAATTAAAACTTATTAAAAATAAATATTATAAAAAAAATAATATTTATTTATAAAATATTTATAAAAATAAAAATATATAAATAAAATTAAAATATAATATAATATTAATATATTAAATAATAAAAAAAATTATTATTTTTTATTATTATTAAAAAAAATTAAAAAATAAATATAATTTAAAAACTTATTTTATAAAAGTTTTAATAATTTATATTTTTATTAATATGTAAAATTAAAACTTTAAAAAAAATATAAAATTATATAAATTTAATTATTATAAAAAATTTTTAAAAATAAATTATAAATATAATTTAAATAAAAATATTAAAATATATAAAATTAATAAATTAAATGGCTAATAATATACCTTATACTTATGATTTATATATAATAAATATATTTATTTAACTTTTTTAATAAATAAAATAATAATATAATATATACATATTTTATAACCTACGTTTAATTTTAATAAAAAAAAATAGCTTATTTTACGTTTTATAACCCATTTTTTAATATATATAAATAAATGGATAAGTGGATAAGTATATATCAGTTCGTATTAAATATTACTTTAAAGTTTTACATAAATGCTTTTAAACATAACATACTTAAAAGTTTTATATCCACTGTTACTTTATTAAATACTTGCTTAAAAGACTAAACTACTAGATTAAACCAATAATAATAAAGATTTTAATAACCAGATAAAAGCCTTTCACGGTATTTACATCCAATATCACTACTACCAATCAATAATTCGAGAGCAATTATGTATACACGATTGAAAGAATATGATTAAATTCGCTATAGGTTTATGAATGTATGTATCGTTTCTATTCCATTGCAAATGATCAGATCCCGTCTTGAGTAGCGAACACAGAAATAGCCCGAACTGCAGCCATCAGATCTGCATGAAAGTTAGGATAGTTGATACCATGCGTAGCTGCCAGTTGTCCAGTGCCCATCGGGATTGCTTCAATACCTGACTGTACATTTTCTAGATTTTCAATAGTCATAGCTATTCTCGTAGGTTCAATAAGGGATTCTCCTAGTGTTGTACAAGTCGTTCCCATTGTTTTCTTTGCAAGACTGAATACTGGACTCCAGGGAATAGGGGCTTCCAACTCTCTACCCCTTGGGTAACCGAACCCAGCTACAGCCAACGCCCTGCGCACCCAGCGGTCATTTACACTTGCAAAGTGTAACTGGACAGTTTCTGGGGATGACCAGCGCTCTAGTTGCTTGCGAAGAACGATCAATCCATTTATTGCGTCGGCGTCGATGTTGCTCACAGTAGAAAAATCAAAGACTAGCGCTTTGAGAGTTGGCTTGATGGTCTCTGAGCCGGGCTGGTCTGATAATTCTTGAGGACGAGAGGAGGGACACTCATTCCACGGTCGGTCCTAAGCCATAAAAGTCAGTGAATACTGTTCCCCTATTAGATACAATCTTACTCACACCGGGATTCTTGTAGTCAAGTACAGTGGTTCGGCAAGTTTCTTTTGTCACATATCCCAGAAGAAACTCCATGTGCTGGGATTGATTGACGTAATTGAAACCTTCAGGGAAACGATAAATGAATACCCCTGGACGAGGAGATTCAACATAGATGGATGGGTTAGATGCATCCTTTCGATCGAGCCGGAAGAAAGCTTCTCTAGGAGGGTTTGCCGATGTAAATGGTGCATCAGCTGCAACTGGGCTTCTTGTGTGTGAGTTTGGGTATTGGTGAACTTGAACACGTCCAAGAAACTGCCCCTGGCCACGAAGAAGCCGGATGAAAATGAGACACGCAGATAAGGCCGTAGTCACGTAGATTCCGTTCTCAAGTGTACTAAAAATAGACGCCAGGAGTCCGATAGTGTAGATGACAAGGTCTGGTGGCGATATCAGCCATAATTTACGCAGCTCATCAAGAGACATGGGTAAATCGATCACGGCGTGTATTATGAGAGCCGCCATAGTAGCAACTGGAGTCCAGTACAAGACCTGACCTAACGCATATAAAGCAAGGACGAGAATAAAGGCATTAAAAATCCCGGCCAGGGGTGTTTTAACACGCGCCTTCGATAGCAAAGCGCTACCGCCGAATGAAGCCGTTGAAGCGTAAGCACCAATAAACGGGCCAGCTAAATTTATTGCGCCGATCGCGACTAGCTCTTGTGATGGTAATATGCTGTAGTCGTTCTTCTGAGCCAAGGATTTGCCAATAGCAATATGTTCAACGATAACAACAATTACTATAGCCGGAAGCTCAGAGAGAAGACTTTTCACCAATTCGAGTTGAAAAGTCGGAGGTCCAATGTGACCAAAACCTGACATGCATAAGCTAATGGTGACTTATCGGTTGGGATGGTATACGCACCTGTTGGGATGTGTCCAAGTATGCGGAATTTGAAATCTTCTTGCGGGACATTCCTATTAACCAGATAACTGACCAATATGTAGAGGAAAACGGTAAAAGACAGTCGAAGTGAAGCAAGTGTATTCCACATCTTTTCCCGATGAGGCTTCCGTACCGCCAAGTATTGGAATAGCCACTTTATGGACATCAATAGTAACAAGGCTGTAAGTCCCACCACTGCATCTAGCTTGGCCCGGCTGAGCCCTTTACATATATCAATGAAGACTTGATAAGCCGGACCCTTAGTATTGACGTCCCTGATCCCTAGCAGGTTTGGCATTTGGCCAAGAGCGATGGTAATTGCGGCGGCGGTGACGAAAGCCGAAATGGCCACGTGAGGTATCAACTCGATGATCCACCCTAATTGCAAGAGCCCAAGGATAAGAAAAATACAGCCAGCGAGGAATGCGTGAGTTTTGGCGACTTCTTCTCGAGTAAAATTAGGATGTTTGTCGGTAACACTGGTTCCCGTCTTGCCAACGAGTAGAGATATTACGGCGGTTGCCTTCAAAGATTAGCAAAGGACTCAATCATACACACAAAAAGAAATATAAACATACCCCAACACAAATATCCTTAGACGTTCCGAAAATCCAATACAGCGAAGCCCCCGCAAATGTGGTAAAAAGCCCAAATTCAGGAGTTAGATTCGTTAGTATCGCATAGGACAACCCTTGTGGGATCATCACGAGACTAAGTGTACAACCTTAGGTAAGTATGGTTAGATCATAATGGACTAGACTTGGACAAGGGACAGGACATTACCAGCAATGAGGTCGGCGATTAGCCATCGCGTATTATATCGTCGGACCCATCCAATGAAAGGGAAAAGGCTTTGGAGGTATGAGATAGGGTTGATTTGGTTCGAGAATTGTTCTAGGATCCATTCTTTCGTTGTTGGGATTTGTTCTATGAATGGCTCGAATGGGGAAATCGCTTCGCTACTATGCTGGATAAGGCTATCTGGGGGTAAATGCGCATCAGCATTGCCTTTTACACCAAGCACCTTCACGATAGCCGAAAAGCTCTTCCCTAGCATTCTAGCCATGAGTTCTTGCCCTTGGCACAATAAACCCCTAGAGATGCGGGACGAAAGAATAAAGAAGACGCAGAAAAGATAAATTTTACTAGAGAACAGAATACAATAAGTATGGCCTGCAGTATGGTTACTACCACTTACTAGTGGACATTGTAAGGAGTAACAATAAGTGATAATGGAATATCGACCTAGGTCATCAAAATAAAGCTCCGCGACTCACTCGTTTTAAGTGTTGATCCTATTTGTGTTACCCGTAAAGCAAAACCATTAACTTGTCGGGACGAAGAGCTTATATCAAACTACTTGATATACAGGACACAGTTACCTATAAGAATGGAAGTAAATCAAACTAAGTCATGTCTACCTATATGCCTAGTCCTATGCCAGTTTTAACTAATTGATTGTCTTTTAGTTAATATCTTTAATAAAGTGGTACTTATACTTGAGTAATTGCCGGTACTATACATAGATCAGCCCCTGAATCGACTAGGAAGGACGCCAACATGCACTTTGACCCTTCGGCCTTCAAAACGGGAAGCTTTATTGTTAACTTCATGTGTTTAAATACACTAGAACGTAAGATATAATAATATTTCCTTGCTAATCCCACATAAGATCGATGCTGTAATCGGGTGAACTTGAAAGATAAGAAATAGGGGCTTTATCTTCTACCCCTTAACATGGCTTATTCACGTGATTTTCTAACTGCTGGAAGATACCTTGGTCTGTGCTTTGGCACTAGCACTTCCATCTTGTGATGTACCTAAAAAAGATATGAGATCTTTGGGGGTTCTAAAAAAAACATTTTTCGTCAGGACCGTAAACCCCTCTTATTACCCAAGAAAACCTTCATCGCGACATATTATAAAAATCTCAGAAGATGCAATTGAAAGAGATCCAACGGCTCGAGCTGCCGCCCGCAGCAGATATGCATGTCCATTTGCGACAAGGCGAGCTAATGGAATTGATGGTGCCTACCGTGCGCCAGGGTGGTGTTGACACTGTATTTGTGTATGGCCTCTTTACTTGACTTCTTCAAGGGGAAATATGCGAGCTGACTAAAGAGTACAGCATGCCTAATCTTGTACGCACGCCTTATTGAATTCTGCTGGATATATCACAGAAGACCTGAATTTGTACACTCTAATACGATCAAGCTAGATACCACCCCTTACTACTGTTGAACAGGTATGCATAAACGGACTGTATAAAATTATTAGAAACTGGTGATTAACTGCTATAAAGGTTCTAGAATACCAATCTAAGCTACAAGCAATAGCCCCGGATGTGAATTTTCTTATGTCACTCTTCGTAAGTTCCCTGCTACTATTTACTATGTCTTTCTATAATAGGGGTTAACCCGACTAACTCTTTCCTAGCTTCACCCCTCTGTAACACCCGATGTCATTGCCCAAGCCGCAGCAGCTGGTATCACAGGTGTCAAGATGTATCCTCAAGGTAAACGTTGTCCTCTTCGTTCCCAATAATATGGAACTAACGAATTTCAGGGGTAACTACCAACTCTGAATCTGGCGTCTCGAATCTCGAGTCCTTCTATGCTACCTTCGCCGCCATGGAACAACACGACTTGGGTACATAATACCATCTTTTAAGCTCCGTATTTCCGTGTTTACTTTCGAGTAGTCCTTCACTTTTCTTTTGGAGTAGACCAAACTGACAAAGTTACGTACCTCTAGTGCTGAATCTTCATGGAGAGGTCCTAGAGTCCCTTGCACCAGCGGATACAACTCTGGAAGAAGCATTCCTTCCAACCTTGAAGACGCTCCATGAGCGCTTCCCAAATCTACGCATCGTGGTATGTTGCACACATGTCTTCCGAGCTCATTTTCAAGTAACCACTAACATACGCCTCAGCTTGAGCATTGTACTACTGCAGCAGCTGTTGAAGCTGTGCGGGCTTGCGGGCCTACCGTCGGTGGTATGACATATTCTTTCTCTTTATTCTTCCAGCGAATAATGCTAATATAATTGTCACTAGCTACAATCACTGCCCACCATCTATATCTCACTTCCGATGAAGCCCACTGCGACCCCTTTGCCTTCTGCAAACCTATCCCGAAGAAACCTACGGATAGGGATGCACTAGTTAAAACCGTTGTCAGCGGTGATCCAAAGTTCTTCTTGTAAGTCGCCCCTAACAGGTCCCTATACTTATCACCTTGTCAATATTAATCATCACTTTATTAGTGGAAGCGATAGTGCCCCTCATCCCCTCCAGTCCAAAACTTCTGCTGAGCAAGGCAAAGCGCCGGCTGGCGTGTACACGCAACCATACGTGACGCAACTCGTTCTTCTTGCCCTCGAGGAGGCTATTGACCGCGGTGTGATTACGGAAGCAGATGTCACACAGGAGAAATTAGCCGGGTTCCTCAGTCAGTTTGGACGGCGATTTTATAAACTCCCGGAAAGCTCGGGTAAGAAAATCGTGCTTGAAAGAAAAGGAGAGAAGATACCGGCAAGCGTGTCGAGCAAGAATAGGAGCATCGAGGTCGGGATTTCCAAGGCGGGGACTGAAGTATTTAGTTTAAGTTGGGAAGAGGCGTGATGACTGAGACCGGAGTTGGGACGCGGGGTGGCAAGGAGTTAGGGACTAAGATATGAAAAGGGGGAAAGGTAGTAAAAGTTGATTCGTATCTCTAGTAGATAGTCAAGCCTGGCTTCTAAGATGTCACATTCTACTAGGCACATGAAAATATAGCTATGCGGAGCTTGTGCGGGCATGTCTGACATGCATCAATGAGGTTTATGGGCGTACTGGGTGCTAAATCTTCATTGCTTTCCTTTCAACTATGGTTAAAATATAGAATCCTTCCTCTAGGGCAAACCTACCTGCGACGAGAGATATCAACACTTCTTGGTAAAGAAGAGGCATCATAGAAATAAATAAGTAGATACCTAATCTGTACAGACGTTGGTTATAGTGCAAGTATAACGTCTTTATCCATAAATAATTACTGACTATTGCCCAATGATCCCTTGGGAGATATCATTCCAGTATACAGTATCCAAATAGCCCTTCTATAGAGCAGAACGCCTCTAGAATCAACATCCCGTAGATGTATATTCTACAGCGCTTATTCCCAGTCCTTCTCGACAAGCCACTGATCCTCTAGCTTCAATGCCGTTTCCTCGACCAGATTGCACTCGCGGTGTCCCCACTTCTGACGGAAGACCTCACGGCCAGCCTCAGCCAAGATCCAGAACGACGCCGCGAATCCCTCTGGGTTATAATAATAGGGCTCACCCACTCCGCCGTGCTGGCTGTTCTGCCACGAGTTGCGAGAATTCTTCTTGTCGCGATACTTATATGCGCCCATGTCGTTACCAACATTAATCAGCTCCCGGAAATACTCAATCGACCTGGCAACGCTCATATTCTCGGTACCATTAACCCCCTCATCCCTTTTCTGATCCACCTTCGCCCCTTTTCCGTCCTTGCTCTGTTCCTTATCCGTCCCATTTTGTTCCCCTTTCGATGGCTCCTTCTGCGCCTCCTTGGATTGCTCCTTTGGCGCAAAAGCCGGATTCGGATCGATAAATTTGGGGATCACGTTCGGATCACGGTACAACGCGGCCAGATCCTCCAATACCGTTGATACGTCGTTAATTATACCCACACGACGATGCCTCATGGTCCATCCATCCATTTCCAACCTCGCGTTCATGTCGCAATCGCTGCCGTAGTACGGCATCAGCGAGTCCCATCCGCCTACAGCGTCCAGCGCTGCTCTGTTTACCAACGTGAGATGATCATACTGGAACCAGCGGAAGGCCCACCGTTCCTCTCTTTCCAAAGTTTGGTTTAGCTCGCGCAAGCAGTTCTCGTAAATGGTCTTATATCCATCCTGGCCAGCCGCTGCTGGGCGCATAATATCCGCTTCTTCTTTCTCATCATAAAAGAACCAGTTCCTATCTCCATCACGCTCCAACGTGTCGGGCCCATCCTCGAACGAAAATACTAACACATCCTGATGCGAATAAAAGTAATATGGCCAGGAACGGGAGAGAGCGGTATTCAGAAAGAAGTTCTGCATTTGCGAGAATGTAAGCAAGACAGGCGTCTGTATAATGTTGACCCTGAGCTTGCGTAACGTTGCGTGATCGAGATAAAAGGGATTCTGCAGACTAAGTTTTCCCTGCGCATTCGCATTTTGTACGCCCGTATTTTCAACTACAAATATAGATTCAGGTGGCCAGCCCGCGGTCAAATACCCGACCACGCACTGCAGAAGCATTGGCCATTGTCGGGTGAATCCAATGAAGAGTGGCGGGGTATAAGAAAGGCCGTACTCTCGATGTAAACCAGGACGGGGGACATTATATTCTGGAATGGGCGGAGGTGTTGCTGTCGACTTCGTGAGAAGAGGGAATGGATCGGTCGCAGAAGGGGCCGCAAAGGTTGGCGTTTCCTTGTACTTCGGAGGCGCATGGGTGTTTGTCGGACGGTGAATCTCGTGGGCGCTAGCTTGGTTTGTTTTCTCATTATTGATCATGGAGAGGTTTCGTAGAAAGCCATCGTCGCCCCCTATACCGCGGTATAATGCCAAAGCCACGAGACTAATAGCGATCAGCCCAATTGGAAGAACGAAAGATCGCAAGCCTCGTGGGCTACCGACGAGCGTCATAATTATCGCCTAACGGAGCTATGTGGTAGGCAAGCAAACGAGAAAAAATCGGGTAATCATTCTAGTCTTGGCTGGTTCAGGTCCTAATATTATTAAGTGGACGGTGGAATTAGTTTCGTTCCTATTCGACCACATGTCACTACTACACACAGGTTTTTTTCTCTCGTGAATTATTTGAAAAGAATTGGATGGAAAAGGGGAAGTCAGTGACGCGTACGCAGCTAGGACCGGGATACACCAGATCGCGGGTCGCATCATGATCATCATGATCCGCATGAGCTCAAGCCATCCCGCCCTTGGCACCCTTCTCAACCCCTGCATTAGGTCCAGTTAATTGCAGTTAATTGCCGTGTACGGCGCAGACCCTGGTTACTATGCTACCCTACCTGCCTACTTCATTATGAATTGCGGCTGGAAATGTTTCAACTATGATGGAGCATCATTACGTCGTTAGGCAGCATTTTTGTTAGTTATTTATGATGGGAACTAGAAAGTATGAGATATCATAAACGTTACATATGGGAGGTATTACAATATTTTTTTTTCTTTTTTCCTCCCTTTTTCTTTCTCCGCAACCATAAGCAGAATGATAAAATATCAGTCCAAAAAGCCCGCAGATAATATCTTCAACAAAAAAGTTTTCGTCTCGGAATAGACTAAAAATAGCCAAGACATATGTACAACGTCACGAAAATATTTAATACCATTTATATTAACAATTCAATAGAACAGGATAAGATCTTTCCAAGTTAAATTATTTAGATTGAGCTTCACTGTTATATGACGCAGTTATAGTGAAAATGACAGGTTAGATGGAGCCTTTTAAGCCATACCCTCCCATCTGCAAGGATCCGTAAAAGTTTTTCAACTCGTCTTTCTTATCCCCATTCCCATCGCTCTTCTAAGAGTTGGAGATCATATATCAGGGAGCCATTAGTAGTTCGAAGTAAATGTTATAAGAGGCGTCCAAAGACTAAGATAACCGCGGTCAACCCGGTTAGGAACGATAATTGATTGCTCAATTTAGAAGATGACAGGAAACATGAAAACTCTTCTAATTTTCGGACATGTTCACCTTCTTTATCCAGGTACTAGCAGGAGTCAATAAGAAGATAAGAATACTTTGTTTTAGGTAGTTTACCTTACCTCTTCCGACCCCTAGATACGATATTTATATGCCGATATCTCCGTGTATCAACCTACCGAGAATAGGTAGTTACTAAAACCACCCAGTCCACTAAAGAGTGCTAGTCTTACTCTTCTAACCTAGAAACCTTCAAAGTCATAAACTATTCGGCCCCGAAGTCTATGTATATTGTTCAGTGTATCTTTGTTAATAAATTTGTCCTATATACACCTCTCGGTATGAAGGCTTGTTAAAAGGCTATGCTCTACCTAGCATGCGTCTCATTCATGACCGAGTCGTGCTATCGTCGACTACCTAGATAACTAAGTAAACCCAGGTCGAATCTTCCACTCTCCCGACTCGCATTTCCAGTTTACTTCTAAACCAGCAGAGTTATCATTGAATACCATCTTCCCCGGGGGAGGTATGCTAAGTACGTATCCACATGAACAAGATACTACGAAGTCATAGGATCATCCTCCTCTCGACCCTACACTATTATCTACTTTAGTTGTCTAACTCCGCATTCCGTAGAGCTCTTGTAAATACCAGTTCCATTTTGGTATATGACTTAGCTCAGGGGTTAGACAACTATCTATTCCCAGCACAGCGTTAGTCGAAAGTTAAAACCTACACGATCTCTAGGTCGGTAATACCGTTGCACGAGCATTGTCTCTCTAACAGACGGTCGTGCCACACAGACATCGAGGTTGCCTCTTATTAGGACCAAGCGAGACATTGCGGTATTCACTAAGATCCTCTCGCCCGTCTAGTAGCATGGGTCTAGACTACCGACTGCTTGAGATTGCAGAATAATATGTCTTAAGTCTCCCCACTTGAAACAATGGCACTCTTTTCTCAGAGTCGGTGTCTTGGAGACATTTCGTGGTGTCTGAAATCCTTGGCCAGAAGAGGCAATGGAAGCGGCCTCTCCTTGAGTACTTACTCGCGCAAGGTGTATGGCGCACATATACTTTCTCATCCGTCCGTTCAGAGGGAAGTCTATAAGTAGAATGATCTCTCGTTGAATATGCAAATCTTATTCCACAATCAACTATTACACTGTTTCCCAGCATGACCATCTCAAGAAGGGTATTACTGGGCGTGTTAGCGGTGTCATCTGCCTGTTTTCACGGCGCAGACGCCTACTGGCGCATGTCCTGCTCCATTATCCAAACTGGCCGACTGGATCCTAACATATCCCCTGGCGAGGTTTCAGCCCATGTCCATAAGGTCTCCGGCGCAAGCAACTTTGGTCTATCGAACACCTATGAGAACCTAATCGCCTCGCAGTGCACCTCGTGCGAGGTGCAAGACGACAAATCGATCTACTGGACACCGCAGCTCTACTATCAGCATACTAACGGAAACCTTGAGGAAGTTCCCAATGGCGGGACGGTCGTCTACTATCTTGGGCGCGGCGAAAATAGGTCTAATATTGAACCCTTCCCACCCGGATTCCGGATGATGTCAGGAGATCCATACCTCCGATCAAACGATACTACATATTTTACTTACTCGGCCGGTGGAAACTCTGGGGGCCGTCTGGTCTCTGACCGCGTGTCCTTCGCATGCCTTGACAGTTCGGGCACCATCCCGCAACAGAACTACATGTTCCGCACCGATTGCAACAATGGTCTTCGTGCTCAGATACAATTCCCATCGTGCTGGAACGGGCAAGATTATCAACTTGACCAGTCGCACGTAGCATATATGTCTGGCATCGACAATGGCGTCTGCCCGCCCTCGCATCCAAGACAGCTGGCGCACTTATTCTTCGAGGTCATCTATGGCGTGAATGACATAAATAAGGAGTCAGGCGGACAATTCGTCTTCGCGAATGGTGACCCTACAGGATTCGGTTTCCATGGAGACTTCATGAACGGGTGGGATACAGAAGTTCTTACCGACGCTTTGGACCAGTGCGTTAACAACGACTCTTCCAACGGTCAGATCTCAAAATGCCCGCCGCTAGCCAAGTCTCAGACCCCTTATTATGCGACAAATTGCCCAGAGCGTAAACCAATTGTTAACGAGCAAGTAAAGGGGATGCTCGAATGTCTCCCCGGCTGTAACGTAGTTACGCCTGGCCCAGAACGAGCAATTCAGCTCGTATGCCCAGACACACCCTCCGTCAATACTGTAGATTATGGTGGGCCCTATACTATGTTTAACCCTTCCACGGGGCAGAAGCTCGACGGGAGTACATTTGCTTTCGCAGGATGCGCAGCTGATGGCGGTAGTTCAAGGACATTGAGTGGGCACTCAACTGCAGCTGACGATATGACCATTGAGTATTGCACATCAGTCTGCAAGTCCCAAGGTTATCCCTTTGCAGGCCTCGAGTATTCGAGGGAATGCTATTGCGGGAGTTCCCTTGGCGACGCTGCTACAGTGGATTGCTCAACAACATCCCAGATGATATGTGCCGGTAATGCAACAGAGTGGTGCGGCGCACCAAATCTCTTGGCCATATGGAACGACACCTCCTATTCTCAATCTGTAACGACGCTTGTAGTCGATACTACAACGATTAACAACGGCAGCGCGACATACATGGGTTGTTTCAGCGACCCAGGTGGAAACAATAGAGCATTAAGCAACGATAGCATGTTCGATACAACAGCAATGACGAATGAGAAGTGCGTATCATACTGCGAAGGCAAGGGATACTCGTTAGCCGGGACGGAATATTCGCAAGAGTGCTACTGCGGCAATGTCAATACAGGAACTCTCATCGCAGATAGTAGTCAGTGCGACATGAAGTGCAAAGGGGACTCGCGCGGATTCTGTGGTGGGAGTCTCAAATTGAGCGTTTGGAGTCTTACTCAAGTTTCACCGAGTCAATCACAGTCTACTACAGCGACTTCATGGCAGTAGACTCATGTGCTTCGTACTGCCAAAGCAAGAACTACGCTCTCTTCGGTGTGGAATACGGTGGAGAGTGCTACTGTGGAAATTCCCCGAATGCTTCAGCGACGGTTTCTAGCGAAGAGGGTTGTAGCATGGCATGCAAAGGCAATTCGACTCAAATCTGTGGTGGGAGCTCCAAAATTTCCGTCTGGAGAAACACGCTATATGTTCCAACGCGCAACTTAGTTGCTATCAGCGGTAGCGGGTATACCTACCTTGGCTGTTATACCGAAGGGGTGAACGGTAGAGCATTAGGTAAAGGAGCGAGCGCAATCATCACGAGCTACTCGACTATCCATAGTACGTCGACGGTTGAGAAATGCGCAAGTTACTGTGTGGGAAAGGGGTATGCTTACATGGGCGTTGAGTACGGTCAAGAATGTTATTGTAACAATGATGGCCCTTTTAATGGAGCAACGAAGGTGGCCGAAAGCGACTGTAGTATGACTTGTAAAGGGGATATAACGGAGTGGTGTGGTGGCATTTCCAGGATCAGCATCTACAAGGCTAGCAATGCTTAGATATTTCCGAGATTAGATATTAGGACACAGATATAAACTCGAAGGGACAGTATTAATATTTTAAGAGAATATGGTTCAAATTTATTACAAACGAATTTTGGTTTTGGTCAGAATTAGGTGAGAGAGAACTTGTTCGTTAATGTTAGTTTCGTCTCTTATTAACACTTGATATAAGATCACAAAGACCTTTAAGGGTTGTTTGTAAATTTAAGCTGGGCTATATTTATAGCCTGTGATATTTTAGTATGTAAGTAGGCTTAAATTTGTCTCGTTTGTAAAGGAGTTTTTACTATAATTTAAACCAATTAAAGCTAGTTTTAATAACTATAAATTGTTATTTATTTATGGTTTTAAATTTATGAATTTTATTTATATATGTAATTTAAAAGATTTATATAATGTAAGGTATTATAAGAATTTTTAGTATTAATTAAATTTTTTTAAATTTTAATTTTAATATTAAAAATTAATAAGTTTTAAAACTTGATTTTAAGTGTAAAAAAATTTTTAATTATTAATTTAATTAATTTTATTAATTTTAAGTTTTTTTTAACTAATTAAAAAATATTAAAATTATATATAAATATTAATTAAAATATTATTTATTTATAAAATTTTTATTATTTATTAATATTATAATATTTTATATTTATTTTTTTTACGTTATTATAATTATTTTAATAAACCTTTACCTTTTAATTATTAATAATTAATTAATTTTTTCGTTTTCGAATTAAATTATATTTATAGTTTTTAATTAAATTGCATATAATTAATAAACGTTATTTATTTATATAAAACTTTTTAATTAAATTTTTAATTTTATTTTAATAATATTTAAAGCTTTTTACAAATAAGTTAATAACGGTATAAAAATAGTTATTAACAGTTTAAAAAAAAGGTTTTTTATATAAGTAACTATTTTATTACGGAATTATTTTATTATTAACGTTATTTATAAATAAGTTAAAAATAAATTTAAATATTTATAAAATAAAATTATTATTTAATTTTAATTTATTTTATAAAATAATTTTAAATAAAATAAAAAGGTTTAAATAATAATAACTAAAGTTTATTTATGGAATATTTATTTTATTATTAATATATATTTATATTTTAATTGGTAATTAAATTAATTTATTAGTTAATATAATTTTATTTTAAAATAAAATTTTTTTAATTAAAATTTTTTAAATATTAATAATTAATAAAAGATGTATTTAATAATAAAATAAAAATTATAAGTAATTTAATTATTAAATTAAAAATTATAGTTATTATTTTTAATAAATAATAAGAAATTATTAATAATATAATTGTTATTATTATTAATAATAATTTTAATAATTTTTTAAATAATTTTAATAATAAATTATTAATTGTATAAACGATTTTTAAGGTATTTTAATAATGTAAAAAGTGTAAAAATATTATAAAAAATGATAATACCTTTTATTTATTTTACGTTATATATTAAAAAAAACAAAAAATTAATAATGTTTTAGTTAAAAAAGATTTAAATTATATTATTTATTTATTATTAAAAGTTAAAAAAATATTATTTAATAAAAAATAAAATTATTATAAAGTAATAAAAATATTAAATTAAATTTATTTAAATAAAATTAATAATAAAACTATAATTTATATAATTAAAATATAAGTAAAAAAAGATAAATTAATTACCGTTTTTATTAATTTAAACGATTTTTTTTATTTAATATAACTTAAAAGTTTTAATAAAAAAATTAAATAAATAAAAAGTACCGATAAACCTTTTAATTATTTAAAAATAATTTATAATATTAATGATATTATAAAAGCTTATTAATTTAATAATTATAACCTTAAAAATAATATTAAAACAAGTTTAAAAAATAAAAATAGTTTTTAAAAACTATTTTTTAAATTTTAATATATTTTTAACTTATTTTATATATATAAAATTAATTTATTAATTTTATAGTTTTATTATAATAACCTTAAATTAATAATAATAGTTTAAATTTTTTTATTAATAATATAAATTTTTCTTTAATATATAAAAGTAATATAATATATATAATTTAACTTTATTATATAATTAAATATATTTTATATAAGATTTATTAATAAATTTATTAATTTTTTATCATTTTAAATATATTAAAAAATTTAATTTATAAATTTTTTAATTAAAAATAATAATTACCATTTTAATTATAAAGCTATAAATTATATTTATTAATTTACTATTATATTTAAACGATTATTTGGCTATTTTTAAGGTTATATTTTTAATTAAATATTTAATATATACTTTTTATATTTTTATTATTTTTTATAATTTTAAAAAGTTTATTTATAATTTTAAACCTTTTTATTTTTTAAATTTTATAAAATCGTTGCCTAGGTGATTGTTATTAATATATATATTTGGGTTAATATTTATTATTTTTTAAAGGTTAATTTTACCGTAATTGAAAAAAAAATTGTAAAAGTTAACAATTACATATATTAATTTAAAATAAACTTTAATATTAAAAAAAAGATTTTTCGAAAAAATTATAAATAAAGCCTTTTAATGTTTAAAAATCTTTTTAATAATATTTTTTAATTAATTATATTTTAAATTATATAATTTTTTAGTTATTTTAAATTTAATATTATTTAAAATATTTTTTTAAAAATGGTATTATACGTTATAAAACAATATAAATAACTTTTTACCGTTTATAAATTTAACGTTTTTTAATAAATATTTACTTTTAAATATTATAAATTTATTAATATTAATAGTTTTATTAAATATTTTTATATTATTAATTAAGTTTTTTTAATTAATTAATATATACGTAAATTTTTTATTAAAATTATATATTATTAATATATTAATAAATATAAATCTTTTATAATTTTATTAACTATTTTTATTTTTATTAATTTATATAGCAAAATAAAACCTATTTATAATATTAATAATATTATTAAATTAAAAATTAAATTTATTATTATTAATAATTTTTTCGTATATAATTAATAAAATAAAAAGTTTAATAAATATTTTAATTAATATAATAATTAAATTTAAATATTTATGAAAAACGTTATAAATTATTTATATAAATTTATTAAATATTTCGCTAATAATATAAATAGTAATATTTTAAATAATAAAATAAAAAAAAATAATTAATTTTTTAATATATAATATATAATTTTAAATATACGTATAATACGTTTAAATCGGTTATTATTAAATTTAAATAAATATTTTACATAATAAAAACTTAAAAAAAAGTTTATATATATTTTTAATTGTTTAAAGCTTTTAATAATTATTATTATTACTATAATAATTAATATAATTATAACTTATTAAAAGATTTTTTAAAAACATTATTTATATATTTTAATTATTATTAATTTAATAAAATTTATATAATTATAAATTTAATTAAATTAAATAAATATAAATAAAAAAACGGATATAATTGTAAAATTTAACATTAAAAAACGCCTTTATTACAACTTATTAAATTTAATAAATCGTTAACAGGTTTTTTAAAGCTTATTAAATGCTTAAAAAAGTATTTTAAAATATTTTATAAGCTAAATTATAATAGGGATAAGTTAATTAATACATCCAAACATATTGCTAATATTTATACTTATCTCCCATAATCTTTCCCGTACTTAAGTTTACAAATAACCCCTTATTACATAATATTGTAACTTATATACATCTATCTATCTTCGGGAAAGGCATACTTCTTCTTGCAGGCCTTGATGTCTTGATACGCGAAGTGCCCCTATTTAGCAAGGGCTAATGGCAGGGAAGAATTTCAGTCCTATACTATCATCAGGCTCCCTCATATCCAATTTATGAACGAGATCAATAATAGTGGCCGGCTCACCATGGCTTTTCTCGCCCGAACGAGCATATCGTACAGCTCGAGGCGTTACTGGGGCACTGTCACCCCAGAACTTAAGGTATGCTGCCACCGTACGAAGTCTGCGTTTTTGCGTAGCAGTCAATCCCTCAACGTCGTTAACGGCAATAATGTCTTCTAACCTACATCGGCTTGTATCGTGGGGTATGTACACCTCAAATTTGTTTCTCAGCCTGGTTCTCATCTCATCATCCGGCTTGTTCTCGTATATGTGATCAATAGCATCTGGTCCACCAGCTAAATCCTCTTCAACAGGTGTGACATGTACCTTTTCATCAATCATAATCCAATATTCCTGCATGCGGACATATGGCCGGGCGAAGAACCCAAAGAACCTCTGCATACCATCTTGACTAGTCCGGTCCATCTGTACCATAGTGCGGTATACTTCCGAAAGGTACACTATGAGGTTTGGCCACCAAACTACCGTATCCTCTTGGGGTACCTCGTTATCCGGCATTTCCAACTCTCGAAAATGGTAGTTTACCAGGAAATGGAAATCCATAGGCTTCTCGCCATCATAGAGTGGGTAGAGTTTGGCAGTTCTACCAACCATTGTCTTCTTTCTTGTAGGCTCTAGCAAATGTAAAACGTCTTCGTAGTGTACGCCGCCCCCAAATGCCACAACCAAATGACAAAATACACACAAAATCTGAGATTTTGGATGTGTATAGGGAGCCTTTTCAGAACCGTCGGCAAATATCTCTATCGCCGATGGGAAATCTGATTTAGGGTAGCATTGGACATGAATGATGGCCGGACGTTGAATTGTCTCTTGCAGGTCCAGCCGTCCCTCTGACCATTCCCGATATTCCTCAAATTCCCTATCGTACCTCCTCCCCATAAATTCCATAATCATCGTCATCATCATGTACTTTTTTAGACGACTAATATCCACGTGAGATGAATGAGAGTAGACGCAAAAGTAGCTACGAATCAAAACTAATTACTCTATTAAAACAGCGCCGGTTCGATCTTATTTTAGAGGCATACTTATATGGCAATTCTATCACATACGTAACAATCGTCTTGCACATAACAATGCAATTCTTTATAAAGTATAAAGCAGTAGTAACTCAGCCTCATTGCTTGGCCTTTGTATTTCACTCGTCGGTTTCTACTATGCAGTATAATTATAAGCAATGGGCAAAGAGTTTCAGCCAAGTTAGATAACTGACTCATAAACATGAATTACCCCGTTTCTTTATTCTAACAAAAGGGAAACAATAGGGAAACAATAGGGAGTAAGTTTGTATATACTACATGTACCATAAGACCCCTATTAAGGCCCCCTATTCCATTGTTCCTATTCCAACCCGTCCGAGTACTGCTATTGTTTTGTTACGCGGGAAGGATATCACGCAACGAGGAATTTTGAAGAATGTATTTTCAAATTATTTCGTAAAGACAGAGGGGGAGTTAAAGCCCGAAGGAAATCTATTCCGGGTATCAAATAAGAGTGACAATAACTCACTCCCCCTCCGTTTCCGCCTCTAAGGGGCGCATAACCGACCTAAACTCATCTTACACGGAATCGAATCCCCAGGGTTTGCCCCATGCAAATCTGATACGACGACCAATTAATCTCTACGTCGGCGGAGTCAAGGTTTCTTCCACCCTTGACTCGACAATCCTGCATATTCCAGCTTCTTCGACGGTCCCTACCTAGCCATAGAGATGGGGCAAACGCATATAGAGGATCGTGAGTGATTACTTATTTAATAGGTATAAATGTAATCCAAACAGGATACCTCTAGCAACATTCATCTTGTCCCAGAACTTCCTATCCCAAATATGATCGGCTCGTAGGCTTACTCGGCCCCGCCCACTGGCCGCGAACGCTGAGCAACTACTTCTCGAGCGTAGAATTCGACAAGCATCGTAGCATAAGCTTCCAGATCCTCGACAGGTACAGCAAGTCGGAAATCGTTTAATAGAAGGAACTGCAGCTCGAGATGGTTGAGCTCAGCTAACGGGAGGCCACCGACCTAAAAGGCGCACGTATTAGCATAGGTCACATGGAAGAGGTGTAGGCGTGAGCAATAGGTAGGCATTGGAGGGGTTATAAGCGCGAGGGAACTGGTGTGTGATGTAGGTAAGCATTTGGAGAGGCAACTCACCTTAGCATATCTCGAATTAGTATAGAAAACATCCGAGAAGAATTTGCTCGCGCAAGTGACACCAGCAATGATTAGGCGGTGTATATTGAAGCTGTCGACAACAAAATAAGTGGCGGGTGAAGCAGGTGGTGACGGTGGCGCCCTTGCTCGCTTTTCTCGACTTTTCTCTCTCCCTTTTTCATCGGGGTCGTCGTCGACGAGATCGGATTCAGTTTCGTCGCCATCACTGTCATCATCCCGCATCTCCCTGTCAGCATTGCTGCCGGACTGCGTCTCTGCCACCGGGGCCTGAGATCGTAGGGGTTGTCGAGTCTGTGACTGCCTCCTCGCTGCTTCTGCCTCCATTACCATGGTGTTCACGCGCTCAGTCATTCGGTCGAAGTAAACTAAAAGACTGAGAAACACCTCGTACGTAGTTGGGCAGTACTTGTGAATCCTGCTCAGGTAACTCAAAATCGTGATTGCCGGCACGTTTTTGCCGTGGAATGCAAGAACAGAACTGCTCAAAGGGCTCATCGAGGTGCCTTCGCTGTTGTGGCTGGCTGCGGTCTGCTGGTGGGTAGCGTTTCTATGCAACGCATCATGCTGAAGATCATTGGTGGTGGTGATTTTTGTTAAAAGAGCCGCAACCATTTCAATGATGTCACCTATCGGCATTTGGCTGATCTCATACTTCATCGCCTGAAGCGGCGGGTCGTTTAATATGCCTGGTCCATTGCCTCCGTTCATTAGATCGGCGCGAGCAAGGCTCTGGATGTGCGCGAGATCGCGCACATAGACAGTGTGCCCTTCCGGTGAAGTTGAGGTACTATCGACATTGACGCGTGGGGTCGGAGACTTGTATGAGTCGGAATCAGGAGATGGTTGCTGCTGCTGGGTAGGTGTGGGTGTAGAACTACTAGGTACTGCCGATGTAGTCGCTTGGGTCTCCGATGCCATGTATTCTGAAGACGGACTCGCATTCTGTGCTCTTACGCGTGCAGAAGCGGGGTTCGGCGAGGAAGAATCAGGTGGCGTGGGGAACCTTGAGGCTCCGCCGGTGGATGAGATGTATTTTTGCTCCGTCGCTGTCCCCGTCTCTGTCTCTGTAGATTCCCAAGATCGCTTAGAAGGTGTCGCGCTCGGTACTGAAGGTCGGTAAGACGCGGCTGAGATAGTGGGAGAGTAACCCGTCTGGGATGGTGTTTCGCGCGGTCGGTTCCTGGAATCTGACCGATATGAAGATTCGCGAGATCGCGAGTGTTCGTGAGGTAAGCTAGAAGCTGCAATCATATTATGGAGGCGCGTATGATCCGAAACGAAATCTCCGATTATAGCAGCCATCGCATCGTCTTGCGAAAGGTGTAGTAGTAAGTCTAGTTGGTTGATTAATATGCGAAGTGAATATCGCAATCGAGGATTATTAAGAAGCCTGAAAAGAAGCGGGTTATTAGTTAGTGAATCTATTCTATCGTATTAAGTTGTCTTTCGTCGTGTCTGGTTTTGGAACGAAGGTGGAATGAAGGCGATTCGACTCGACTCGGCTCAGCTCAGCTTAGCCCAGTTAAGTCAAGCAGTCGATCAGTAGTTCGGTGACTCGAGTCTGGCTGGTTGGCCTCTGGTTGGCCTCTGGTTGGCCTTCTTCTGCTTCGCCTTCGCGCACAGTAAACTTCTGGGTCCACGAGTGGGGAAAACGGGTAAACAAGAAAATGTTCGGGCCACAATGTCGACAGCCCAACGATCCACGACGAGGCAGATAAGGCCAAAAAAATGGTGGAACGCCCCATATGTCACTGTGGTTCCCAAGTGGCAAGGTTCACGGTTCCATACAACAAGCTGATGTAAAAAAGCATCATGGTTGTTTTGTGCCCGAAGATTCGCTTGACAAAGACCGTATAAATGAAAGATATGGGCAAGTTTGACCACTAAGAGAGAGAATGACATAGGTCGTGAGGTGGATTGTCAAACTGAATGACTACCTAGATGTGTAGGTGGATAGCCCAACTCTAGCCTCACTGACCAACAACAAGGCGCATTTCACAGCTTTCATCATATTCCAGCATCTTTACTGGTTCCATCCGTCAACACCGCCCCCGCGTAGAGGGTTGCGCGAATGATAACGGATTGCTAGGAACGGGAGGATAATAAAAGGATCAGACGACGGGCCCGTGTGCTTGTGCGAAAGACGCCAGCGAACCTAAGTTCAGGCGCGGGCCCGGACGCGGGACGCGGGACGCGGGACACGGACGACAGCAAGATGAAATGTGAAATCATGATGCTTACCTATTCTAATACTAGTAACGGATGGCGCCGTAAGCATAAGCCTTTTTTTTTCGGTCGCTATCGAATGAAAATGTGCGATGCGCAAAAAAAGTGAATTTTTCCGTTGGTAGATCAGTAAAGATTACCAAAGTTCGGGCGCAACGACAGCCTCAAAAAACGCTCGAGCGTTGGAGTCGCGCGTTAGCGGAGATAATAGTGTCGTTATCAATGCGTCCGTTTGCAACAATGAATAATACGGAAATTAAGAAGGGATATTTAATCGGCGCAGGTATCCCAAACCTAACAAGTAACAAGATCCGTCCGGGTAGATGATTGTTGCCTTTGATGGAAATGGGGGACGATGAGAAAGATAGATTGCGTAGTTGTTGTAGTAGTGTAGTAAGTTTAGTATACGTAAGGTCGGGTTCAGATTTCAGGTTCAGGTTCAGGTCCAGAAGTCCCAGTTAAGGTAAATGAGGTAACAGGCTAACAGGTTAACAGGCTAACAGGCTAACCCTGTAGCGGTCCGGGGGGGTTGTTAGTTTCAAGATGCAGGTGGCGGCGGCGAAGACTGATACGACAGATAGAGCAGGCATACGTCAAAGCCTTAGATCCAATGTCTCGGCGCGCGGCCAGGGTGTGCTTGCCTGCAATCTGCTTGCTGATGGGACCGCTTTAGGCTTTTGTACCGAACAATCAATTGATGCTACGGTAGAAGAAAATAGAAAATAAAATAAGATAAAACCCCGACAACCCAATTCAACCAGTTGAAGAAATTGGCTTGAAGAAGGAGGAATAATAAAATAGTGTGATCAAATATACAATGCAATGTAGTGTAATAATAACACCACCACAACAACAACAACAACAACAATGATAATAATAATAATAATAAGAGCAATAATGGTTGCCCCCTTCCGATTGCGCGCGCTTCAATTCAATTCGGCGGATTTGATTAAAATAGATAAAACACTAAAAGCCACAGGAATATCTTTTCTTCATTCATCAAATAAAAATTCGAATCTACAAGAGCTACAAAAGCAAAAATAGCAGGAGTAGCAATAAAAGATTACGAGGTCGAGGAACAAAAGTGCCAAAAAAGGGATATTGAGCAAATTTTAATAGGGAGACAGCGGCTGTAGATTAATAAATCAAAGATAAAAGGAAAAACATTCAAGTTGGAACGAAAAAAAGGGGGGGGGAAGGGAACAAGCAAAGATGGCGTGCGATAGGTTGAAAATCGACACTTTGAGAAGAGAATGACAACTTCTCGTTGGCAGGTTTTCTTTTTGCTTTGCTTTGGCCCTCTGTCACTTGTCTCGCACGTGTTCGCAATGCTTGGGATGGCTGGGGATAGATGGGATGGCAGACAGGATCGCTCGAGACCCGGCTCCGGAACTGCAGGTAATAATTGCGTCTTAACGAAATGGGGAATAGCAGTGAGGCAGTGCACAAGTCGCGGCCAGCAGCTAATGCACGGGAAGCTCTGAGCTATGAGCTCGTTGGTCCGTTAGGATTTTTACTTGTGCTACTCCGGTACAATGTCTACCGTGGGGTGGGAGAAAGAGAGAGAGAGGGGAAGAGTAGATTATTTCTACGTTGAATTTCCTCAAGATTGACTAAATTCGAAAATGGTGAATATTCCATAGATGCTAAGATGTAGCCATCTACTTTATAAGGTATATACCTGTTCGAGTAGCAAGGCGTGATAAAGTCACGTACGAAGGGATGATTCTTTCAACTTATTCAACTTCCACAGTCTAACCTAGCATCTTATACCTGTACAAAGTGCCTTCGGGGTATTACAGCGATCAGTACATACATGATGTAGTTACATGAATAGGAGTTGGCTGACATGTTGTATCTTCAACGTACGTCATCTCTACCTACATGTACTCTCCAGTAACGAAGACTTGCAGTAGGTAATTTCATGCAGCAAATTACATACAGCTTCACATGCTTTTAGGATACAAGAGACTCACGCCGAAACTTTAAGATAATCACGATAATTAAATCCAACCGCGCTGATTCAACTTTCAAAGAGTCGAGTCAGCTAGCTATGCTATATGGATACTAACTTATATAGTTGACATTACATATATATATATATATCTTGAGCACTACGTACGTACGTATGTAGTAGCTGTTACGTAGGTTTCATTTATATCAAACCTTGGAACGCAACGACGTTTCCAGGGCATATCCCGCACTACTTACGAACAGGACCCTTAAAATACGTCGGCTACCTGTTAGCTTGGTAGTTCACGCTCGCCGGTAAATCCGGGCCCGCCGTTCTTCTAGCCCGGTCCCATTCTCGGCGTCTACGATTCAGGGTCCTCGTTCTACCTAGATTAACCCTTCACGTCGTATGCCGATCTCACCCCATGATTTTCGCGAGCATCTTCAGTTTAAGCCTCTATGATCGCGTGGTATCTGTTGCTGTCGATTTCCGACTAAGATCTCTTGCTCTTGAAAATCCACTTCCTATAGATAGATGTACTTAGTATAATTCCATACTCATACTCCCCGTTCTGTCTACCCATGTCATGTCCCATGTAGGTGTGCAACTAATATCATCCCGCACTTTATCCCCGTGCCAAGATCCTGGCAACGGCGGGTGCTCGCTCCCCCCCTGTCCGACTCGAGAGGCTGACAATGCGGCGTCCCAGAAATTGAAAAAGTAAATGTTACTTGATGGCATCATCGTACTCGTGGGCTTTTTCTTCCTTTACCCCCACGGGCATTTTGAGTGATGAGATAAGAAAATAAAACACGGGACGGGCCTTTTGGCTAATATACTCTCCCTTGAACACGCCCGTCTCCCCCTATTCCACCGCTTGAAGAACTTCCCAGCTCGAAAACGGTGAGATGCAGGGTTCGGAAATATCTTAATAATTGTTCATTCCTACAGTCGCTTTGCAGCAACGCCTGCCAAGATTTGATGTTGCTCTCTATTCGGGTTTCGATGTTTAGGCTAAATAACGACCCGAAGGAAAACATAAGAGTTACTACCGCGGCTTCATCTAGAGTACCTATGTTAGGTAGGTGATCATGATCACACCTCAGGTGCGTTAGGCATCGTTAACGTAGCACTGATGACGATGGATGAAGCGGGAGGCTGGTTGGGTATATTGCAAAGTAGCTTCAAATCAGATACTCTCATCATTTATCGCTCTGCCTCGGAGGCTCAACAAAAGTTTCCTGTCCATCCGGCCGTAGAGCTAACAGGCAGTACAAACCGTCTAATCCGAATCAAATTCCCACGTAACCCGGCTCACCCCGAGATCAACCTTCACCCTATCAGCGACGACATTGCAACACGATAGGGAGGGAGGTATCTAGGACAGGTCAGTAAGTCGATTGTCAGAGTGACCCAACTACTACCTACATACATTCGCTCGTCAGTCGAATTGCGATTCTATTGGCGATATCCCGTCGCGGCCATGTGACAACCCGAGCTAAATGATTTGTTCGATGCCGTATGTATATCTCGCTCACCGCCTGATTGTGTGCGCGCTGCCAAGGATTGGAGCTCAAAATTCCCCCAACCCTGCAGCATTAGAGAATCCATCCGTCCATTCACGGGGGTGTTGCCACAGATTGGCTATCTGATTACCCAAGAGATTGGAAATCTAATATACCCCATTGCAAAGCTTCTATTGACCTCATATCAAATCATCGCCGCGTAGCTTGTAGTGGCTGCGACACGTGAATTCGGGTGATATTGTACAGATATGGAGAGACATGCTCAACCCTCAAAGCGCTATTGGGTCTCGCCTATGCTTCCATGTCTAATGAGGTCTATTAATGCCGGACCTCATATTTCTCGTCAGGCAAGTACAGGTGTCTATCTGCCCCTTTCTTCGTCAAGACAACCATGCGAATAACTCCTCCTGAGCTGCCATCCCACTTAATCGCCTCGCCCAGCGCACCCTTGACGAAGTTGACAGCGTCCTGCTCCTCCATTCCCTCTTTCCAGTGCGCATCACAGTAACCGTAGATGTAAGTCGAACCGGAACCGCCGATCGCATAGGATTGCTTGTGTAGAGAACCTCCGAGAGGAATAGAGTAGACCTGACCGCCGTGTCGCTCATCCCAACCCGCGATAATGAGACCCGCGCTGTAAGATAAAGTCACATTAGTATCAGCGTCAGCCTCACAGATGGGCTGCAACAATATATTCATGAATATACCTTAGCCGGTCCTTGTTCGAATAGCAGATCTCTTGGAAGATGGCCGCGGCCGTCTGGGTAGTAGGCGGTTTGCCGTTTCGCATCGCGAACAGACCAAGCTGATATTGGACTATATCAGCCACGGCTTGTGTGTCGGCGGCCGAACCAGATCGGCAGCACCAGATAGTGTCATGGACTTGGGTCAATTTGTCTGTAACTCGGTTCGCGATGTATGCTCCGGTAGTAGTTCTCGAGTCAGCACCTGAAAGCGGCCGGCGACGTCAGCATGTTTTCGCAAGGGTTTCGCAAGGGGCTATGGAGAATAGAGTTATCGCACGCACCGAGAATGACACCATCCTTGAATGTCACAGCCATGCTAGCACCAGGTTAATTCACGATTGTTCTCCGGCCATAGGTCGGTAAAGTTAAGCTCACATCGATGTTCCGAGGCTGATAATCAGTTAGTTGGTTGGTTGGGTATTATTCTGGATTATTTTATGGTACTCACTTGACCTCGCCCTTCTTTAGTCTCTCCATGTCCACGTGGATTCCATCTATTTTAACAAGTTGTCAGCCTAGCTCTGCGCGCCTAAGTTGAACCTCTCCGGACTTGAGTCTCGATGGCTAACGATCTCAACGTACCCTCGTTTAAGACACCCCTGTTGCCAAACTCCATATTGTAGACTGGAGGCAGGATAAAGAAAGATGTGAGATGCGCAATTTCAATAAGCAAAGGTCGGAGTAATGGTCGTAAGAACAAGGGTTTGTCGTTGTCGATAGAAAATGTGGTGGAAGAAGCTTGGTGGGTTGGTGGGTTGACGACAGGAACAGCTTCAATGATTGTTTGACCAAGCTCAAGGCAGCTCCGACGCGCAAGGCTAGGGTCGGAGGTCGGGAGCTATCGTTAGCCTTGGACACAACCCCATATAAAGGTCACGTGGTATCCAGCATATATGTGATGATAAGATATCTAAATTTGGAATGGATAAGGAACTTAGCCCGTGTGCCTGCATATGCACGTATGTACGTACATTTATGTATCAAGACTGGACAATCATTTTGAGAATTGATGTTTGCGCATTAGAATTTATAGGTTGACATACGATACAACAAGATTCTAAAGCGCGATACCACAGACAACATATTGCTATCCTAGACATTGTAGACGCACATAAACTACAATCAAAAAGATAAGGTCTTTTTAGTCTTTTCGGTGTGCTCTCCATGCCAGGGGAGAGGAAAGCCAACACAAAAGTGCTTAATATTTCCTATTCTAAGATCAAAAACCAACCACCAAAAACTCCCAATCGCTATGCTTCCAGAAACAGTGTATTGATATTGTGTAATTATACAATTAGCCACCCTTAGTCAATCTAGCCAGAACGTTAGTATATGAACGATATTAAGTATGGTCTTCACGGAGGAAGATACTCACCCTTCCTTCTCCAACTTCAGCTCCCCTATGCTGTCTGCACCCTCCTTTTTGTCATCCCCGCAACCGCATTCGTAGAAATCCCCGAGCTTCTCAGGAGTACAGTCGAAGATGGGCTTCTTCAGCCTCTCATTAACCTGGTTATGTACGAAGCACGCCCATCCCGCGGCCGCGCTGCGCGAACTGACCTGAGGTGGATATTGGGCGAGAAGTTTTTGGAAATGTCGCGCGCAGTCGCCGCATGGGTACAGGCGTGCGAATAGTTGGATGAACGTCTTAAGCGCGAGGGAGTCGTCTTCGGTGGGCTTATCGGGGAAACGCGCCATCATAGTATGGAAGAATTTCCAGGTCGAACGGCCGAGTTCAGCTCTACACGGAATCAAGACAAGTCAGCAAAATCCATGACACACAATTCCAGGCTATAGAATATCCTAGATATCGTATGCATTATTCATTGCGGAATTGGGAAGTATACGCACTTGATGGTGGCGTTTTCGAGCTTCGGGGCAATAGCGCCTCCTGACAGGATTCCGCTCGACAGTGAAGGGAAGTCGGATTTCGGGTCTGAGATTACGTTCGCTTTCGCATCTGCTTTCACGTCTGCTTTCATATCTGGCGCCGTGTCTATTTTTTGGTGTGCTTTCGTATCTGCTGTGATCGCATCTGAAGCACCTAACGGTTGTTTGGTCAAGCCCGCCGCAGGTAACACCTGTCGTATTTGCTCGGTTTTCCCGCCGAAAGACGTCATGAAAGACAAGACTAAGAAAACCGCGACCGCCAAGATGACGACGACGGAAAGATGCCGCGCCATTTTCGGACGTGGGGAATCGAGTGTTAAGGTAAAGGCGTAGCTGAAAATTCGTATCGCGGATCGCGATGTACGGCCCTTCCAAGAAGGAAATTCAAACTAAAAGGGTTTAATATTGAAGCTCGTTTGACAGTAAACTAAAAATAATATTCAGATGTAGTGAATGAAAGAAACATTAGACGATACGTTGAATCGTTCGATCAACATTCGGGCGTTAGCATTTAGGACTCAGGAGTTTTAGAGGTTTCAAGGGCCATTGTTCTAGGTTAGTTAGACAATTTGATATCCTCGGCCAGGGTCCAGAAGGTTACACTAGTGGATCTCTCCGAATCAGTGGGAGACCCTAGCCCCGATACGGTCCACTAGTGGTTGGTTCGTGCGTAGCATCGGACATGAGGGCACCCCTGCGGTGCGCCACAATAGCCCGAGTTTACAAATGTCATAAAATTGTCACATATTACTATTGTTAAAAAAAAAACGGAATAGTTTTTAATGATATAAATTAATATATTAAAAATATAGAAAATATATTATTAAAATGAGTAAAATTTAACGGATTTAATGGTATAAATATAAGATTTTTTAAAATTTTATTTAAATTGTTTTAAACTTTTTAATATAATTTAATAAAAAAACATGCATCGGTACAAATATTAGTTTAAATAATATAAAATATACGGTAATATTTTAAATATAATTCGGTAAATTAATAGTATTAATTTAATATTTTTCCGGATTTTATTTAATTTTATATAAACTTTTTAAATAAATAAAATAATTATTAAAAAATAAATTTACGTATATTATAATAAATTTTAATTCGATAAATATAAGTTTATTAATATAAAATTTAAAATATTAACGAAAATTTAAAATAATTTATTTAAAATTTTTCCAGACTTTTTTAATTATTTTAATAAATATAAAATAAAATAAATAAAATAAAAATTAAAATTAAAAATTAAAAAATTAAAAAATTAAAAAATTAAAAAAATTTATAAAAATATATAAAAATATATAAAAATATATAAAAATATATAAAAATATAAATAAATATAAATAAATATAATTATATAAAAAATAATAAAATAAATAAAAAATAATAATAATTTTATATTAAAATTTATTTTATTTTTTCGAAAAAATATTACGTTTAAATTTTTTTAATTAATAAAGTAATTAATAAAATAATTAATAAAGTAATTAATAAAGTAATTAATAAAAGATTATATGTGTTTATGTAAAAAGTATCCGGAAATTAATAAAATTATTAATAAAATCCCGATAAATTAATAAAATTTAATACTTATAAATTTAATTAATCGTATCTCGTATTATTTTTACATTATTCGAGTATTTTTATTAAATGTATTTTTTTTAATTTTTACATTTTAAAATTAATTAATTAAGTGTATTACTTTTAACTTTTACACTTTAAAATTAATTAATTAAATATATTGTTTTTAACTTTTACACCGGTAATGTATTTTAATTAAATATATTTATTTAACACTTTTAACCGTTAATTTTATAATATTTAACCTTGTAACCATATGTTTACATAATTAACCAAAATGATAATAACTTTACAAATAATTAATTTAAAAAATAACTGATATTTAAAAATAAAAATAAAATTTAAAAAAATAATAAAAAATTTATTTTAATAAATTTAAACTATAAATTTAATGTTATTTATAAAATTATATTTTTTTAACTATATTACTTTTTAATTAATTAAAACTTAAAATAACTTTTTAAAATAATATTAAATTTGTAATTTAAAATAAATTTAAAACCTTATATATTAAAATTATACGTTTAATATTTTAAAATAATAATATTAATAATAATATTAATAATATTATTAAAAATAATAATATTAACGCGTTTTTATAATAAATTTAATTAATTATATAATT